GTATTAAGTAAGAGAAAGTGATTTTTTTGTTTTTTTTTTAAATAGAAATAGTTAACAATGAAAAAAGAAAAAAAAAAAAAAAAAAGAAAAAAGAAAAGAAGGAAATAAGGAAATAAGTTATAATCCTATGCACCAGCTGTTTTATTATTTCTTCTCAAAAATGGTGACAAATCTCATCAAAAGATCAAATTATTATGATAGACAAAAACTATCTTGATGAACATATTAAATAGGTTATAGAATTTATTATTTTACTTTTAAAAAAGTAAAAAATAAAATTATTTTTATTATTATATATATAGGTCAAATCGATGTTATCAAGTCCTTCATCTATTCTTGATGATTTTGATGAAAATTCAAATGGTAAACATTTATATTCATCATCATTAACTAGTACAACTTCAACTTATCATCATACATCATTTATTGATGATTTTTGTGAACAAGTTCAAAAAGATGAAGATTTTCCTTCAGATGATCAATCAGAAGCAACATCAACAAGTAATTGTCGAATTACAATTGAATATGATCCAAGATTAGCATTATTAATTGAAAAAGAACTTGGTCTAAATGATCCACAAACATCAAGAAAAAATGCTTGGGGAAATTTATCTTATGCAGAATTAATTGCTAAAGCCATTGAAAATAGTCAAAATAAACGCTTAACACTTTCTCAAATATATTCATGGATGATTCAATATGTTCCTTATTTTAGAGATAAAGGAGATAGAAAAAGTAGTACAGGATGGAAGGTATTTTATTTATCAAATTTAACTTTTTTTTTAATATTCATTAATAAAATAAATAAACAACAAAACAAATAAATATTTATATTTAGAATTCTATACGTCATAACCTATCATTGCATAATCGATTTGTTCGAATTCCAAATGAAATAGCAGGTAAATCAAGTTGGTGGACGATTGATCCTCGAGCAAAACAAGTTCGTGGTAGAAGACGAGTTCAATCGAATGAAAATTCAACAAAAAGTGAAAGACGTCGTTTAACAAAAACAATATCAAATGATAATTCAAATCCAACATCATTTGATTATTTATTTTCAAATGAACAAATTCCTTCATCATCAAATGATATTTATTCATCATCATCATCAACAACAACATTAAATCAAAATCAAAATCAAAGATCATTTACATCTGTTAGAGATATGAATAAAAATTTATATAATCTTTTACAAAATAATTCTCAAGATCAATCTTATACATCAACACAACAAATGCCAAATATATTACATGATATGTTAAAATCTTCTCCTCCATCGACATCAAATAACAATGACAATAATTTTAATTCAGGTTTATTTATTTAAAAAAGAAAAAAAAATTTTCTTTTTTCTTTTTTTAATTTATTTTTCATTTTAGGTATTGATAGTACATATTCATCATTATCGAAATCTCCTTCAGTTAGTTCACAATCTCCCTCACCACCATCTCATACTGATTACGAAATAGATCAAATGATATCATCAAAATTAAGTAAACAATTAAAAACAATGGATCGTTCAAGTCCATTATTTCGTCGAATGGTCGTAGCGATAATGCGTCATCAGATGAATAAATCAAAACCAAATATTGAAAGACGAAAAATTCTTTCAACTCCTCCATCAATTCCATCTCCATCCCGATCTCCATCAACATCACCATCAACAAATTTATTATTTAATCAAATTCCATCATCATCATCATCAATGGATTTACAAATACCTAATAATACACAAGAACCAATTCCAAGTTCAACATTTGATTTAGATGTTGAAGCAATACTTGATTTTGAACGAACGACATTTGGAGATTGTTCTTTCGATATACATGACTTGCCCAATTTGTGATGTGTGTTGTTTTGATTTTATTTTATTTTATTTTATTTTTTTCTTTCTCGAGTTCTTTTCTTTTTCTTTTTTTTTTTTCTATCCGGTGACCGTGTCATTATCGTCATATGAATATTTGTTTAAATCCTAACATCGATCATTCGAACAATATCAAGCATTTATCCTTTATTTATTATTTGTCACGCATCAAACAATTAAGAGAATAAATCGTACGTGACATTGACGTCATCGTTCCTTTTTTGTCTTTATGTTGACAAAAATAGATTTTGAAATTAAATTGAAAAAAATGAACAGTTTCTTTTTTTTTTTGTAATTTATTAAATATAAATTATTCTATTTAGTTGTGTTTTTTTTTGTTTTTAATTTGAAGTTAATTAGAAGAGAAAATGAATCTTTTCAAATTTAAATTATTCATTTTTTTCTGAATCAATTATAGAGATTATAAATTTGAATAATTTCGTTAAACAAATTTATTTCATTTTTATTCTAAAACAAAAGAAAAACTATTTAAGAAATAATTTTATCTATCGTATTGTTGTTCTTTTCGATGTGGTATAAGTCTTGGTTGTCGATGATAATATTATCTACTAAGACTATCTTATCTCTTTAATTTTTCATTTTAACTTAATAAAATCACTAATAATTACTTTATATTTCTCATCAAACTTTTTTTTCGAAATAATTTACACTCTTAAAACGAATTTCGTTAATTCTACTGGTCGTATTTATTTCGAAAGTCGAACAATGACATTGAACACATATTTCATTTCATCAAGTTATTTTAGACTAAAATTGAGACATATATATTGCTTTGAATTTTCAGTCTAGAATTGACTATAGAAAGGAATAATCTTCGATTGTCTGGATATATTATAGGATTCTTCATCGTTGTCACAACAAATTATTTATCAGATTATATAGACTTCCAAACAGTCAGTAAATATGATATAAGCCAGACACATTTGGTCGATTGGAAGCAAAAATTCTTTTCCTTTCTGGTAAAGTCTATAGAATTTACAGTTATACAATGTTGAAATTATTGTTTTAAGACGAAAAAGATATTGAGTCAGTTCGAAAGATAAAATAATCTATTTCAATTTACTATTTATTTTAATTAAAATTTCTAGAATTAGGATCAAAACATATATAGAAATAAAAACCATCATATTAGTTTATTTATTTTGAACTTTATTTATTAAGAACGAATTCGACTATCGGAATCAATGAAAAAAAAAATGATTGATCAAGTTTTTTTGACGGAATGTAAAAAAGATATTCTCATAATATATTTTTCGTGTTATGTCTTAATGACAAGAATGAATAGAAACAACATTGTGTATCTATAGACAATTTAATTCACAGATAATAACACAACGCTATATAAATAACGATATAAAAATGTAGCGAAACTCTAAGATAGACAATATATAGAAGATGTCGATATACTGCTATGACTATGAGCAAGAGAATAAGTATTATCAGAAGTTTTATTAATCAGATAATTATATAAATCGACATTTATCAATCGATTATAATGAAATAAGATTCTATTTTTGTTTGGATTAGAATCAAGACTAAATACTTTTTTGTTAGTGGGGAATCCAAGATTACAGGTCGTTCAGTTTATTTTGAAACGATTTGCATAGAGTTTTTCTTCGTTATTAACTAATACAGATCGCATGGTTCCCATATCAATTTATTCCCCTGAAACTCTAAATACTGTCATGATATTTGTATTTTAGATAAACTAATGCCTCGTAATAAAATATCTAATAATATTGAAGGGATCGTCAAATATCGTTTGACGAAAACGTATTTGTATTCTGTGATACAACAAGAATTATCTGAAATGAATCTTAATGTTTTAAAAGGTACTATTAGTCGTATTGCTAACAAACTTGGAAAAGAGTGCCGGTTTGGTTTATTAAATAAACAGAAGCCAAAATTTTATCGTCGACGCCATTTAGCAACACCTGCAACTGTTTGTTGTATTACGTTATATATAGGTAAAGAAAATCCTCCAACAATCTCGTTAATGCCTGCAAGATGTAATATTAGTGATGGTACTGCTGTTAGTATTATTCGTGATATTATCCGTGCAAAATATGGTAAAAAAAAGGCCGGTACATCGTTTATATCCAGCTGTCATTAAAAAGAGACGATCCCGAGTTTGGCGTATATATCGTCGATTATACAATGAAAAATATAAAAGTTATGTAACTACCGACGAAGCACGGTTTTATCTCAATGCAAGCCAAGGTGTTAGAGATATATATTATGTCAGAAGTTATGGATTACCAGAAGAAGTTAAAAAAATCGAACGAAATTATTTACATCCTGTGACTGTGCTGGTTTAGACCGGTCTGAGCGCACATGGTAAAACTCAGTTACATTTTTATTGAACATGGTTCAACAATTACCAGTCGATACTATATTGAACATATAATAGAACCATTTATTAAATATGTTATTCCTCGTTTATCTCCTGGTGATACACGAATGAAAATGATTCTTCATCAAGACAGTGTACCGGGTCATACAGCAAATAGGGACAGTTAGTTATATGAAAGAAAAGAAAATCCAAGTTATGACATCTGCAGAGTAGTTACCTAAGAATTCAGATGCTGCTCCGATGGACTATTCGATTTGGGGTATTTTGAAAGAACGGGTAAGAAAACACAAGGTGTTAACATTAAATGAGTTGAAAAATGCTATCAAACTGGAGTGAGAAAATCTTGAACAGGATGTAATCGATCATGCTTTGGAGAATTGGCCAACGCGTTGTAGATTAATTTACTATGCTCATGGATCACATATCGAACATCTATTACAATAAATGTATAAAAACAAAAGAATAAGAAACATTCTATTTTGTTTCAAAATAAATTGAACGACTTGTATTGATGCATGTGAACAGACTATATTTGATATGATCAGAAACTTCCTGAAAACTGACGTTTTTGCCGGTTAATCATAGTTTCCTGGTAATTTTTCGGATACAACTAATCCCTTCTGCTTTGTATTGAACTTAGGGGAATAGTGACTTTTTTAAGAAAACATTTCAATTGCACATATCTTTCTAGTAGTTTAGTGTGTATCGCATAATATTGAAGCATTAAANAATCTGAACTCAATTCCTGTGATTTCTAAAGATATTCTATAAGTCTGAGAGTAGAGTCAGTGGTCACCGGATAGGATCGCATACAGTATGATCCATGCTAACTTAGCACGTCTGTATTTTCTCCTTGCAATTTAGTGATAAAAAGCACAGTGAATGTACCTTTTCACTTTTTGAAGTACACATAACACTCGGATTTAAATCCGAGGTTTTCGCATTTATTTGATAGATTGTTGTGAGAAAATTCTGAAAACTTGTATTTGAACAAGTCATAAAAATATGAATAAGATTTAAATATTTATTATTCATAATATTTTCGTGTTAATTTAATCATATTTATAGAAAAAAAAAAAGAATTTTTTTTAATTATCAATAAGATGAAATTATTCGTGAACTTTTGTTTTTGTATTTAAAATTCCTAATAAAAACTTGTTAATTGATTTATATAACTGTGAAATGATTATTATTTTTTAAAATATTTTTGATATTGAATTTTCTGAATAAAATATTTTTGTTTTCAGCAAGTGCAACACAATCAATTCGAACATTTGGTAAAAGTGTTGATGGTTGGCTTCGTGCAGCATTAGGTCATTTACCAGAACGATTAAAAACAATAAAATTAACAATAATAAATGCATTTGCAATGACATTAAGACGTTATACATCATTAAATCATTTAGCTCAAGCAGCACGAGCTGTTCTTCTTAATTCAACACAAGTTAATCAAATGTTAGCTGATTTAAATAAAGTTGATTTTCATAATGTTCAAGTTAGTTTTTTTCTTTTTTCTTTTTTCTTTTTTTTTCTTTAAATTTTATTAATTAATAAAAAAAGAAAGAAAAAAATTCTGTTTAGGAACAAGCATGGTGGGTATGTGAATGTGATGATAATTTAGTTTCTCGTATTGAAAGAGAATTTAAAAATCATTTATCATCTCAATCAACATTAGAAGATTGGTCACAATGGCTTGATTTATTATTAACTGATCTTCTTAAACCATATTCAAATTTAACAGCTGAAAAATATACAAAACAAGCAAAACAAATTCTTTTAAATTGGTCTTTTTATTGTTCAATGGTTATTAGAGATTTAACATTACGTAGTGCGGCATCATTTGGTTCATTTCATTTAATTCGTCTTCTTTATGATGAATATTTATTTTATTTAATTGAACATAAAATAGCATCACATACACAAAAAACTCCAATTGCTGTTATGGCTGAAGTAAATTATATTGATTATTGTTTTTTTTTTTGTTTTCTTTATAAGAATTTATTTATTTCTTAAAGTTAACTCTTCAAAATAAATTATCAATTTATGATGGAATTAATCCATCTAATGGATTAGCATCAACTATTTCAATTGAACGTCGAAATATTCAACCAAAAATCTCATTAGTTGTTAAAAAAGATACACTTTCACCGGTAAATATATTTAACAAAAATTAGAAGAAAACGTTTTCATTTTCGTTTTTGTTTTTATTTTATTTTATTTTCAATAGGCTCAAATATTAACATTATCTGGTTCAACAGTTCAATTACCAATAATTAATAAAATAGTATCAGCAGCTAAATTAGCAAGTCAACCAACAACAATAACAACATCAACATCAACAACAACAACAACAATAACAACAGCAACAACGAATTCAGCTCAACAAAATGATAAAGACAATATTAACTGTGATTCAGTTAAAAGACTTAAAACAACAGATGAACTTGTCGCTGTTTGAGTTTTTGTTTTTGTTTTTGTTTTTGTTTTTGTTTTCTGTAAATTTATTTGTTCTGTATTAGATTCTGTCTCCTTTTTTCTTTTGTGTCTTCAAATAAATAACCGTTCTCTTTAATTAAGAAGAGATCATGTCATTTATTCAAGAAAAAAAAAATGATTTATTTAATATTATGTATTCGAGATATTAAATATGTTTCTATTTCTTGTAAATCTTCATCTTTATCCTCGATAGTATCGAGTAATTTAACGGCAGATTCGAGTAATTGTTTAGCTTGTTTTGATTGTCCTGATTGATCAGATTCCTTTGAATATATTTTAATTAAATCGAAAATAATTTGTTTATAAAGTTGTTCATCAAATTGTATAATTCTTTCTAAACCCATTTTCTTGGCAAGATTTTTATCAACAAATTGATAATAATTTCCTTCTTGATTATATATATAAATACGATAAACATTTGATAATGAAGCTAGTTTTTTAAGAAATTCTTCATCAGCAAAATGATTTGATGTTAAAAAAAGAACACATCGATCTTTAAATGATAGTTCAATAGAATCCAAACATGATGCTGGTTTATCAAATTGTCGTATTGGTGAAAGAAGTTTTCGAAATTTTTCTTTTAATTTTTGATTTTCACCAGGTAAATTTCCAATACGTTTATCTAACCAAATAAATACGAATGATAATAATGACATTGATCAACAAGTTATTTTTTTTGTATGTAAAGGCTAATTTCACTTTTTCTTCTTCCTTTGTGTAGTCTGCAGTAAATCTAGAAAAAAATTCTTGTATTGAACGACGTATTGTATAATGGTAGAATTAAATTCTAGCAATATTCAATTGACTTTAATCAATGATTTTTATTTTTATTTCCTCTTTTTACACTTGAAATCGAAAATAACTTTTGAATAACTAAAAAAAAAAAAAGAAAAAAAGAAAATTTCATTCGATTTGTAAACCTAATGCATGTTATCATTCTCTTATCAGAAATTGTATCTTTCTTACCGAGAAATAAAAAATATTGAACAATGAAACCATTTTGATCGTTAACTTCTTCCGCTTTTACCGATCGAAGTTAATCATTATAGTGCATACACTAAAATAGGAAGTTAACTTAGGTAAACACAATTGTTTCTTTCTCGACACATTGAATAGGAAAGTAATAAGATTTTTTTTAAAACAAAACAAACTATTACATCGAATCAGATTAATATTTAATAAAAAACAATCATAGAAGTATTTCTTGTCAAATTCTGATTTGTAGACATAATATAACATAATTCTAAAAAAATTCAATAAATATATTCGAGAAAATTTAAATTTGTTAGATCATCTGTTATTATTTGGTGGTATCAGTTTATTCTAAGAACACAATTATTCAGACGTCAAGGAGGTAATATGAAATGCAAAGGTCTTTGCAAAAATTTTAAACTTTGTTTTATCATATTGCCCACTTCTGAGTTAAGAAATTTGTTTTTTAGAAAGTCCAATATCTCAACTATTAGTTTTGAATTAGACATAAGTTCTTCTGACATTCTTCCAACTTGAAAAGTCTTTATTTCTTAATTACTTCGAGCTGCATCAATGGATTAAATTGCAACAAAATGCACCGAAATGTAGCGCTTCAAAAACTCTATCAATATTAGCTTTGACAGAAGCTTTCAAATCTATTCTTCAATCTTTAATCGAAAAAGTTTGAAAAACAAAACCTTTTTGAAAATACATTTTGTTTTTCATGAAATATCAATGTGCAAGAATATCAACTACGATCTCCAAAAGTTGTGCCTGAACTGAGTTCTTTTTATATTATTAATAGTTAGAATGACCAACGTATTCAGTCTTTTTTCAACAGCTATACTTTGGTATGAAAATCCAAAGTAAAGGAGGAGTGGCGGTAAGGCCATTTTTCGGCCCAAAATATTTTCAAGAAAAAAATATACCAGGATAACCAGTTTGATATGGCCTACAAACCTATCGTAGTTATTCCGCTTGAAATCACATTAGCGGTTTTTGGACCCTGTACCCCCCTACAGGTTTTCTGGAA